GCGCTGCAAAATCGTTTCAAGCTGTAAGTTTTTGTTCTCTAATTGCGCTATAAGATTTTTGATGAAATTGATAGGTTTCTWCTGCTTAATGGGTTCTTCTTAGTTTATAGTAAGCAATTCAAGTACCAATGATCTCTGATGGATTGAAATTGAAAGTTACAACCTTGAAATTTTGGGGCTTTAGAGTTTTTGATTCACTTTATCATCAAATGATTGAAGAAATTGACCGGTTTCTAATGCGAATAATAACTTATTTTAAGAACTTTCATGCTTTTTTTTGGGTTTTGGGTCTTGAATCAGGAAGTTTCAAACTGTCGATAGGAGGAGCTAATACGCTTGAGAGTCTAAAGATAGAATCGGGAAGTTTTGCTTTGAAATCTTCAAAAGTTTAAGACTTGAAGGATTCTGCTTTGATTTTGTAAGCTCTATTTGGATTGGTTTCAGTTTCGTTTGAGCTATTGGTAACAAAGGAATCAACTTTACTTTCGTCTTCATGTGTGTGATTAGTAGTAGAATCAGTTTGCTATTTGCATCTGTATAGAATTGTTAACTCATCTTATACGTTTTGCAGCATATACAGACTGGTTTCTAATGAAGATTTGAAATGCCTAATCGAAAAATTGGAGGAAAGAAATGATTCTGTTGTATGGGAAAATGTTATTCACAAAAGTACCGATCGCATTTCGTATACTACTAAACGATGCAAGCCAGAAGTAATATAGGCAAACTTGATCGTTTTGTAGATAATTTCACTTTGTTGTCTTTGATTATTACTGAGTATAATAAGCCTTGGTTGTTTTCAGGATGGTGGTCCTATGAAGTATCTAAGTGTTACGGTAAGTCCAATTGTTATGGATCTCTCTTTCTCTGGAATTTAGGCTTTAAATTTGAACTGAAATGCTTTCATTTTTCACCGAAACAGAAAACACATGCTCAGAAATGTTTGCCGATATACTGAAATGGCGAGTTCATAATCCTCCTCCGGCTATGATGATGCTCAAATCCGATCATCTAGGACGAACTCTGGAATCCGGATCTGGCCCGACTAGGACAAGAGACGAAATACAACATCTATCTGGATTGGGATCTGGCACGACTACAACAGGAGACGGAATACAACCTCTTTTTGGCTTATTCATTTACTTCTCAACTGGTGTCAGTTCTGGACACTTCTACTGAGTGGCTCTGGAAAAAATTGCTAGACAACAAACCTGAAGAAATTATCTGTACTGAATTATCTGCCATGTTTTATGCAAATCGTGCTCTTTCGATTGCCAAAGCCTGCCGAGTTTCAAGAAGCATCTCTCGAGTAGAAAGCATCTACTGGACGAGGACGTGGTCAAAGAACTACGTGGCAAAGCCTGAATACGCCACAGCTCAAATAGCGGTGTGGTGGGACATGATCGACTGCCCCATTCCGGAGGGTTATGTTGTTTGGATGATTGTTTATTAACTGAAAGCTCAATTCTAAAGTCCTATGTGGATTCCATTTCGTAGGCAGTGTATTTTGTAGAGCATTCTCAGCTTCAACATAAAATAAYCTAAGCTTAGCTTTGCTTGACATTGCTCTGTTTTTTGCAGKTTGTACCAGGGAAAGGCCATGAAGCATATCAGCTTGAAGGTGATAAGAAAGAGTTTTATGATGACCGAGAAGAATGCCGGGAAGCATAACAATATGTCGATGAGCTTCACTAAGCTGGAATAGACACAAGCGAGTTCCCATGGCGGTAAGTGGAACCAAACCATAACAGTTTCTTTTTCTAGATGATAACCCGAAGTTTCTGATAAGTGAGGATTGCTGAT